AAAATCCATCTCTCTCTCTCTCTCTCTCATATCCATCCATCCATCCATCCATCCACCCATCCATCCATCTCTCTATCTCACAAGAGCATCATAGTAGTGAATAGATAACATCCATCCAAAATCCATCTCTCTCTCTCTCTCTCTCATATCCATCCATCCATCCATCCATCCATCCATCCATCCATTCATCTCTCTATCTCACAAGAGCATCATAGTAGTGAATAGATAATATCCATTCAAAATCCATCTCTCTCTTTCTCTCATATCCATCCATCCATCCATCCATCCATCTCTCTATCTCACAAGAGCATCATAGTTGTGACATTCTCTGGTTGAGCCTGCAGTGGTGATAAAGAAGACAGGGACTTGGCTGATTATTCTGCTAGACTTGTCTGAAATTGGCTTAGTTGAAACTGGAATAACTAGGAATTTCTGGATTATGCCTTGGCCAGATGGTAATTCTCCCCCTAAAAGTAGCCTAGCCAAATCCTGCTTGCACTGCATTTGTTATGTATATGAAAGAGAACATTTCCCATTCTGCACGTACCTCTACTCTCTAGAGTAGACATTAAGATGAGATTACAGCCCTACCCAACCAACCATGTCATGTATTTTATGACTGAGTGACTTTGATCCATAATCAAATCCCAAATCCTCATTCTCCTTTCCTCCATCACAAAGGTTCGGGGGTTGGTAATTTTTAATCACCGTTGTTTTAATCCGCCATCCTTAAATCTCACATGATGCTTCCATCAGAATGGCAGTCTTCACACCTCATATCAAGCCACAGACTGGAAACCAGATTATAGTTTACCATGATGTATTTTTTGCCTTTTAACGACCCTGTAATCCCTTGCATCGGGGTGGAATTTGTGACTGAATGGAACTGAGCATTTACTGGTTGGATGCCCTTCCTGATGCCTACATGGAGCTCACAGCAGTTTTTTTTGTCTCTGTGTATTTTCTCAGAGAGAGAACTATCTGCCGCTACCTAGGATTGAACACACAGCCTCCTGACTGTGAGGCGAGAGTGCCACCTCTAGGCCACCACTCTACTCAGTTTAGCATTACGTATAAACCCCATCGTTCCGGAAAGCCAGGTTTACAGATACAATTAGCTTACAAAAAGCATCACAAGACCTTTAGAAGGTTGGAAAAATATCTCCGTTTCCTTCCGCTCCACCTCTTCCTTCTGCGGCTTGTAGCCCAAAATGAAGTCCTCTTGAAAGACATGAAGTAATTGTGTGTTGGACCCACACTAGGAGAAGAGTCAAGAAAAATCACAAGCAAATCACAACTTTCCAAGTACTTATTTACAGTGTTATTCAAAGCGTTAGGCATTTTATCATGCGAGCTTTACACAAATAAGTCTATCATTGAACAGGTTTATGGAGATTCTTGTCCCAAAAGTGTTTTTTTTTTCCAAAAGGCAACTGGACTTTGTTTTTCCTTGAAAACGTTTCGCTTCCCATCCAAGAAGCTTCTTTATTTCTGATCCAAGAAGCTTCTTCGGTCAAAACTGAAGAAGCTTCTTAGATGAGGAGAGCAACATCTTCAAGGAGAAACCAAGTTCAGTTGCCTTTTGAAAAAGCACCTTTGGGTCTATCATTGAACACTTTCATGCTCAGAAAATTTAGTTCCCCAAGGAATAAAGAAGAAACAAACGATAGAATATCTTTATAGAGAAGATATTCCACTATTTTGAATATTTCAGCTTCAACCACAATAATACACAAGCAAACGATAGATACAAACTCAAGGGAAACTGCTCCAAACTCGCTTGCAGAAAATATGACTTCAGCAATAGAGTGGTCCACGCCTGGAATGCTCTACCTGACTCCATTGTTACATCCCCAAACCCCCATAATTTCAATCTAAGACTGTCTACTGTTGACCTCACCCCATTCCTAAGAGGTCCATAAGGGGGTGTGCATAAGTGCACCAGCATGCCTACCATCCCTGTCCTACTGTCCCCATTTATTCGTACCCATTTATTGTGTCCATGCTTACGTTTATAGTTATACCTGTCACCTTTTACATGTTTGACAAGCTAACTAACTAAATGAAATAAATAAATTTGTTTCTTCCTGAAGCACCCCTTGCGACTAATATGCGACAATTCGGGGAGAACAAAAAAGGAGACATTTCTTTACCCTTTGAGTAGTTGAACCATCCAAGTTGCTCCCCTTGGATTTAAGGATGGGGACCAATTTAGATGGCTTTAAAAGGGGTGGCAGGTGAACAGATTCGTGGGGGATGCGGTGGCGCAGTGGTTTAGAATGCAGTATTGCAGGCTAAACTCTACCCACTGCCAGCAGTTCGATCCTGACCGGCTGAAAGTTGATTCGGCCTTTCATCTTTCCAAGGTCAGTAAAATGAGGAGCCAGATTCCTGGGGTTCATAGGCTGACATTGTAAACTGCTCCGAAGGTACTGTAAAAACACCATGGAGCGGTACATGAGCTATTGCAATTTAACTACTTCTAATACTGGTTGTCAGGCTCCTTTGGAATCTTAAGAAGTAAAACTTAAACGCCAGTCTGAAGTATAATAGGTAAGTGATTTACCTGGTCGGTTATGACATCCAGCTCAATAATACATCCAGGCCGAGCTGTTGACTGCTGGCTTACAATGTTAAACACTTCTCCAATCAGTTTCTAAAGGAGGAGAGATGATAAAAATCCAGCACCGTCAAATACTTTAAAATAATATTGGTAAACAAACAGCTTCAAGTCTCAATCTACATTTGGAGTAAAATAAAGCAGAGCAGAGGAGAATACAGATACTCCTCGACTTAAAACCATCTATTGAACTGTTCTGACCCAGGCTTCCCCAAAAAGCATGAGGCAGGGTCCTGGTCCCGACAAAACCTCCTTTTATTAAACAAATGTGAATTCCTCTCATTCACATTCAGCAAAGGCCTGGCAAACCGTCTTTCAAAGGAATATTTAGGACTACAGACCTTATCTATTTTGGAAAGCTGCCATGTTAACATTTTCCAAATGAGGTGCTGGGCAAGGAAAGGCTGGGCACAGAGTCTCTGAGATTCACGGACAGATCTTCATACTCCTGAAACCAATTTAATTACTTAATTGTTTCCTGCAAAAGCCCACTCCCCTTTCGCTCCTCTCTTATTTCCTCTGGGAGGGACCATTCATCGTCCACCTCTGGCCAATTTAGATGGCTTTAAAAGGGGTGGCAGGTGAACAGATTCACCTGGCCTTACTCCCAAGTCAACCCCTGTTCTTTAGCTGTTCCCTTCATCTGGCAACTCTGCGCATGCGCACACTGGGAATAG